TGGATCAGAGATCAGATATTACGCACGACTGAAAGTCAAACAGTCGTCCGGTAGCAATTGCACCTTCTCTAAATATGTTTAAACCAATACAAATAAACACACACACGCGTACCAACAAACGCAGCCCAATTAGCGATTAAACGACGCTATACGGTCAAGGCGGATGGATATCGGACTCTCGTAAATCGGGACCAAGAAAGTCGCGTCGTCTTCGTCGTTGTCGTCGTTGTCGTCGCCGTCTTCAAGCGAAATCCTATGGCGAGAGATTCGCGATTGCGATTGAGCCTTGATGAGATACACACATGTTTGTATATATAGGAACCGTTACAGTTGCTCTACACAGAAAACGGTGACGCGATTCCATGGTATATACATATGTGTGTACACAAGGCACCTGGTACGCGTGAAACAGTCAGAAGAGTGAACATTTTCCAAGAAACTGACGCCTCTGGGTCGCGTTGTTCACACGTGCATTTCATTTTATTCACCTCCGCCTAACTCGCCTTCCCCAATCATAGTATAACCCTTCCCCTTTTATTATCTTCTCCACTATATATATATATATATATATATATATTATACTCCCACCATTCGTGACTCTTCTTCTATATTGCGTGTCTTCTTCTTCTTCTTCTCTTTCCCGTGTTACTGGAATTCACAACGTTTCAGGGAAAAATTATTTTAACTCTCGTTGAAATGTTTTTACACGCCAATGTGTTTGCGATTATTTTATTTTTGTTTACAAATATATTAATTCACACTGAAAAAAAGATCGTTGCACTTACTAAACATGGAACTGACAAATTTTGTTTGGTCGCTGTAACAAATCTGTATTGTAGTAACAAATTTCTGACAGTTAGTAACACTACAGGGAGAAAAATGAATAAAGTAACGTACTTTTACTATTTTAAAAGTAAAACCTGAACTGTCCGCAGTTTCTGCGCATTTCTGTCAATTTTTACTCTAGAAATATAAAAATTTACTATTCCGGAATAATTTTTACTATTTCAGGAGTAAATTTTATTATTTCTGGAGTAAAAATTGCCAGAAATGCGCAGAAACTGCGGACAGTTCAGGTTTTATTTTTGAAGTATTAAAAGTTACTTTATTCTTTTTTCCATTTTTCTTCGTGTAACAACCCGAGTCGAAATTTTTACCTTTTTTCACCCTCGATTTTCTCAGCCTCCTTTCAGCCTGAAATCATGCGCTTATTTCCAAATCTGCATGTTTAGAGGTTGAAAAGAGGTCTTAGAATTTTTTCTTAATTTGAATTTTTCGAAGTTTTATTCCACCTAAAAGTTTATAGAAAAAAATCCAATTTTTACATTTTTTTAATTTTTCGTTTTTTTTTTTTTTTGTTTTTTTAACCTCTTTTACGCCTCTCTAGTCATCTTTAAACCCTCCTTTCAGCCTCCAATATAGCAGATATTTCCACTTTTGCAAATTCGAGGTCGAAAAGAGGGTATGAAAGTGTTAGAGAGAATAAAAGGAGGATAAAAGGAGGTTTTTAGAGAACTTATAGAGAGTCTAAATTTCGACTCGGGAATATATTCGTTCACAGAAAATTAAAAGGCATTAAAATAAGCTGCAACGCTTATTATTTTAATCCAATTTTGCTTATTTTAATCCATTTTGGTATTAAAATAAGTAAAATTGTATTAAAATAATAAGCGTTGCAGCTTATTTTAATGCCTTATAATTTTCTGTGTTGGTATAACAATACAAATTTGTTGTAAAAACTATATATGAATATATTATTCATTTATTTAAATAAATAATTTAAATAAATAGTAAAAAAGTAAATATAAAAATAATCCAAAATTTAATCATCTACTTATTTCTCTTCACTTCTCGTCCTAAATTCTCTGCGTTTTCTTTTTGGAACCGTTAGAAAAATTATCTTCAACATAAGCTTATTCATAAACTTCCTCTCTCTCTCTCTTTATTTTTTTTTACTCCTTTTTCGTCTTCTTTCTTTGGAGAAAATCCCCCGTTTGAATATTCCAATTCAACATCAGTTTTAGCATCGTTGCATAAACAAATTGTAATTATCGTTTATCCAATGCATATCTCATTGGTATGGGAGGAGAAAAGAAGTGATATTTACGCGCGCAAGAGACGAAAGAGAGAATATAGTCGGTATATATAATGATGGAGTGTCATTTTCCGCAGTGTTTCTTTCACGAGAATTCTCGCACGAACGCGATACGCAACCACGCGAACACATTTTGCTAGTTATATTCTTATAACCCGTTAAACGGAATGTCGAGCGACCTCAGGCCAATATCCGCACACTCGATGGACGATAACACTTCCTATTTCTTGTGCGGAATACTGGCGCGTTTTTATTTTTTTTTTCTTCTGTTTTTTTTTTTTGCACACAAGTGCCTAGCATAAACAAGAGAAGAGACGATGCCAGAGGTAGAAACTGGTATATTAAAACGTGTTATAAATGGGATAGAATGGATTTGTAAAGGCATCATCTAGAAACATGGAGAATAGTATAATATTTGTGCGGGGGAAAAAAAAATTCTTCGGCATTTGTATAACAAGCTTAATTCTCTCTTTACATGCAATATTTTCTTCTTTTAACTTTTTGATTTTTTTCTTTCGAAAAAGAAAACACCAGATGTTGGAATGCAGAAAATAATAATAATTATAATAAATATATGTTATTCTTTAATAGAGGTACATGTTATATATAAAACTGACAATTTCGAAACACTTTTCTTTTTTCTTTTTTTTTTTTTTTGAGAAAACAAACAATATTTCAGTTTTGTCTTTCTTTATAATAAAATTTTCTCCCTTGCATATGGCAAGAACATTTTAACATTCTGAAGTTACAGTACCTTATAAAATGGATTGGTACACGGTTAACCGTGTACCTTCTACATTCATATGCAAATTCTCTAACTAATAACGATTTCGTATGTAGATCCCTGTTTAGTAACAATAAAAGTTTAAGTACAATACGTTTACTACATGTTGAATTATGTTCCTTGAATGAAAATTGGTAGAATTAGGAAATAATTCATTTATACCTTGCAACTTTCATATATATATATATATAGATATTTAGAAATTTCCCTAAAAACCAATTTTTTTTTTTTTTTTTTTTTAATAAAAGGATGAATTATTTTTTTAATTCAATTTTTCATTTAATGTTAATTTACTAAAATAGATGAAAATTCACGTTAAATTAAAAACCAAAGGAAAAAAAATCGTCATGTGTAAAATTATAGAAAAATAATTAAAAGTTAAAATGAAAATTAAAAGAAAATGAGAAAAAAGAAGGAAATCAATAAAACGATGAAAATAAATAGAATTCCCAAAACATATCGAAGTAATACCAGAGCAGTTAACAGTTACACAAAAACTTCAGTTAAAGACGAATTGGGAGATTGTTGGAGAAAAAAGACAACCGTTCGTTTCCTGAGTTTTTATCGTAGAGACTTTCAATGTCCTTGCTGCATTTTTCATTGTCTCAAAATTCAATATATTGTTCCATTTGCTTTTATTAATTATTATTATTATTATTATTATTGTTATTACAAATTCAATTACAATTTTACCATTTGTAATTGAAATTTAAATAATGGTAGTAGTAATAATAATAATAATATTTCGATATTTTTAATTATAAATTATGAAAAATTCAAATAATAAGAATTTTTTAATTTTCCCTTAGTAATTAATCTTTTATCAGAAGAAGATTGTTCCCACTTTCACTGGGACATTATTTATTTAAAAATTCCGATTCTTCAGTTACTCATCGTGAAATTAAAAAAATGCAGTAGAATATTTTTATATTTCACAGGAATAATATTGATTGGACTATATAATGAATTCATGCATTAATTTTTATCAAATATTCCAGAATATAAAGTGAGTAATAATGAAAAAAAAAAGAATTTAATTACTAAAAATTTCAGTTCTTTTTTAAATAACTAATAAAATGAAAAATGACACTCTAAAAATTTAAATAAAATTCAAAGTTATAATTAGTAAATGAAAAAGAAAACTGTTATTAACACTATTAATTTATTTGGTTGATTTATTTTACTTAAAGTACTACTTTAGTTAGAAAAATTACTTACATATTTAGCAGGGTAACTAATTTATTTAGCAAAAACAGTCATTTTTTCTAGCAAAGATTACTAATTTATTTAACAAATGTAGTAATTTGTTTTAGCAAAAAGTACTAATTTATTTGGCAAAAAAAGTCATTCTAGCAAAGTTTAGTAATTTATTTAAGCAAATGTATTAATTTATTTTAACAAAGGTACCAATTTATTTAGCAAAATAACTAATTTTTTAGTCAATACTTTTCATTTTGCAGCAAGGCTATTAATTTATTTTGCACAATTACTAATTTAGCAAAACTAATTTATCAAGCAAAAAAAATTTATTCGGCAGACACTAATTTTTATAGCAAAGATATGCTAATATTTTTAGCAAGGCTACTAATTTATTTAGTAATTCATCAAAGGTGCAAATTAATTTTTACGAAGTCACCTAATTTATTAATAAATGCTATACTTAATTAAATTATTATATTTTAATTTATATTTCCTAAAGTAACAAAATGATTTATTTTCAATTTTCATATAATTTTCTGTCAACAAATTTTTATAATCATCAAAAAAAAGTGACGAATTCAAATTTTATGGAAGGCCTAATTTTTTTTTTTTTTTTGCGATCAATCAATATCGAACACAGACATCTGGACCAGTTTACCGGAATCTTTTAGCAAGACAAAATACTCTGAAAACGGTCTTTCCGCGCGATTGGACCAAAGTGGATGCGATTTTTTCGCATGCCCCCCACCCCTCCTATCCCTCACGAGTACAAGTGCATGATAAAAACGAAAACGTTGAAAAAAAAAGAGAAGCAATGGAATGTGAACAAGTTAGACGTCTTAAGGATGACTGAAGGTGACCATTTTAACGAGTAGGAAGTAAAAGGGTATGATGGGGGAGGGGGGGGGGAAATAGAGAAAGAAAGGTGGGGGGAAGATAAGATGAGATGAAAAAGAGAGAAATCGGTAACAGGCCTTAGCCGATCGAAAACCGGCAGTTTCAGTAGTGTTGTAGAGGCGATCGGACTGTGCGTACCGTTCTGTCCTCCTTAGGCACTTCTTCGTTGCGGTTGCCTCCTCAGACGTTGTCGGTCTCTCGAGGAAGAGCCACGGTTCTTCAGGTACAGTACCTATTTCGCGGTCGTTGGATTATTTAACAATAATTTCAAAAAAAAAAAAGTGTTTTCGATTATAGTGAGTAAAAAAAAAACCCGTGTTTCGATTTAATAGTGCAAGAGACTACACAAGGATTTAATTTTCTAAATTTTTTTTTTTTGTGACTTCAATATTTTTGTCCTTGTTGTCTTATAAATCAAAAAAGGTGTCATCTTTCTGGAATTTTGTTGGTGTCATTTTAATAATTTTTGTTTTTTATTTTTTGAGGAAATTTTTGTACCGGAAATTCCTCTAAAGTTATCCAAGCTATTTGCATTCTCGTCGTTGTTGCGCAAACGCCTCTCGCACAACACACTGCATCAGCAGGTGCTTCCGTCCGCACTACTCCAGTCATCTCAATCAAGAACAGCCCCCGTATGTATACGTCATCCCAAGGACGTATCGTGTTTCGAGTTATGCACTTTGCTTGCGGTCAATGGCATGAAATTATCTTTACGCATCAGTGATCTGCGGCCAATTATTGTCGGTGCACGGAATACTTTCTTTTTCTCTCGAGTGCGCAATTACTTGTCAGAAAAATAAAGCCTTTGCTCTATAAGTTTGTTTCTTTTCATTTTTTTATTTTTCGAGACGATCACTTTTTGTCTATGACAATGTCTTGACCGAAAACAAACAAAAAGGGAAAAAAAAAATTACAATTGTTATTGTTCATTTTATTTTTCCATTTAACCTCCCTTGAATGTTTGGTGTCAGAGAAAACACGAGATTCAAGAGAATAATTCAATTGTAATTGGTCGCAGATTTTTTTTTTCCAACGCTTTGGAGAACAGTGAAATTTTTATATATTAATAAAAATAAGAAAAAGGGTATTAAATTTTGTATTTAGAGAGAAAAAAATGAGTTTTATAAAAAAAAAATACTTGTGTACCTAAAATCACTGTAAAACGAAAGGTAATACCGACTTTAGGTACGAAAATGTTCTATTTTGATACCTAAAATCGGTACTATTTTAGTACTTTTTTTTTACAGTAATATTTTATTCTAAATTTAAGAATATAATATTGTTAACAGTGAAAATTTAAAGCTTCAACTAATACTCTTTTTTATTTTAGAATATAAATATAAAATTTATTTCAAAAATAATATATTAAAATTATGAGAAAATTCAAATTTATTGAGTGATAAAAACAATTTGCATTATAATTTTGTTTAAACTTTGTTAGTGACAGAAACAATGTTTATTCAATAAATATATGAAAATTTCCATACCTCCTTAATGAGCTAAATAAATTGATATTTGTGGAATAAATTTTAATGAATTTTGTTGATAAGATCGAGTAGATTTTGAACAAAAATTGATGTAGATTTTAATGTCCATAATTGGAACTATTGAAAATTAAAATCGAATGCTATTTTGAAATTTAATTTTATGAATTACTTTTTTTTTCTATTTCATTTCACGTTTAATATTTAATGAAAGTGGTAGAAATATATTTTTAAAAAAGTCCTTAAATATTTGTTTCCACTTTTAATAATTCATTTTTCAAAAAGTTTCCATAAATATCATTTTTTTTACATTTAATTAATATATAACATTAATCAACAATGTTGCTTTTTGTAAGTTTACTTTTAAACTAGAATTATAAATCTCTTTTTTTTAAAAAAATAATGAATTATGAAATGAAAATTTTAGAAAATTACAGTCGGGTATTTAAAAATTAATTTATAAAAAGCAAGTTGGTAAATATAAAAATAAATAATAATAAATATTAAATATTAAATACGAAAATAAAAAACGAGAAAAAAAATTAAATAAAACAATTTTCAAAGAAAATATTTATTTGATTTCTGGTGAAAACAGAGTAACAGTATTTTATTTATTGTATCGAGATACAAAAGTTGTATTTTCATAGAAAAGAAAAATTTTTATTTATCGAAGAAAATGTATATCTTCAATGTGTCATCAAAGTTTTTGGGAAAAATATTTTTATATTACAGTTTTTGACATCTGTAAGTCATTTTTCGCCATCTTTTTTTAAAGAACACAAAGTTTGCTCTTTCCTTTTAGAAAATTTGAAACTTCTTTTTCACTTTTTTTCTATTTTTTTTTTTTTTTTTTACTATATAGTAAAAAATAGTATAAATAAAAATATTCAATACCTGTTTTTGAAACAGTTAAATATTTTTAAATAAAACAATTTATGATTTATAATTTGAAAAATTCTTCTTTATAATTTAATTTTACTACCAAGCATACAAATTCACTTATAAGAGGTATTTACTAGCCTGAACCAGAGCAAATGTTCTTGACAGTGTTCTATTGAATTAATGAAGTTTCTATAATTATCAGTAATTAAGTGTTTATTATTATAAACCCAGAGAATTAATAAAATTCTATAATGACAAATTAATATTTCTTTAGAAATATTTTTCAATTTTAATAAGCAAAAGTGAATAAATAATGAAACATTGTATTTTTAATTCTTTTGGAAAATTATCATTCTTTAAAAAATAAACTTAATTTATTCTAATTATATTTAAAAAGAAAAACTTAATATGTCAAAAGCAGTAGGAATCATTTAGTGTTAATTGTCGGGGAGGAAAAAAAAATCTTTTCACACGCAAAAGTTAGCGTTGAGTTGAGATATTAAACGAATTAATATTCACATGAAGAACATTAGCAACTCTCAAAGTTGTATCTTTGTCCATTCCACTTGCAAGAAGATATATACATATATTTATACAGTGTAGAGAGCGAAAACTTGCGATTAATTTCTGGGTTATTTTAGCGCTTGCTCGACACGAGTAAAGAAGATGAGCTCTTGTTTACCAGGTCGAATAAATATTTGCGTTTAAACAAAAAGTGGAGAGAAAATAATATATTTACACGCGTAAAATAATAGAGTTCTTGAAATATTATTATTTTTTTTTTTTTTTATTGCAGATACCAGAAAAGAAAGAAAAAAGAGGTGCAATAATTCACAATGACGAAATACACGAGATGCCAATTTTTAAAAAAATTTCTACTTCTTCATGCAACAATGTACGTTGTTTTCGCCGGCGAAACGACAATTGTCGCTGCTGCCTCGGACCTATCAGCAGTTTCCGGTCCAGACTACACTGGACCATCGGCGGGTTCCGATGAGTGCGATCCTGAAATGGTTGGCTTTGAATTGGTCACCGGTTATGTCTACACAGCACCAACAAATATGCTCGAATCTATACCAGGCAGTCTGATGCTCACAGACTGCCTGGAGACCTGTCAAGGAAACGACTCCTGTCAAGCTGTCAACTACGAAACCGGTCTCTGTGTTCTGTTCAGCTCCAATGCAGACAGCAATCCCGGTAAGTTTCAAAATTTCTCTATTTCTATATATATATATATATGTATTATTGATCAAAAATCGTTGAAGGTTTTTATACATTAAAAATTAGACAAAATATTTACACTTAAACATAAAAAAAAAATTTATTATTCAATAATTAAAAATTTCTACGAAACATTATCAAAAAATGCAATGGCGCAGCATTATAAATCGTACAACATTTACTTCTCGAAAGATAATTTAAAATGACCCAGAGGAATGATAATCTACGCTCTTCTCTCGCGGCTGGAATTAATCATGAGATAATTTATTTTGAGCCAGGGGGATTCATATTGAAGGTGGAATATATTTAAATGCGGACATATATATATTATATATAGCATAAAAAGTCAATTGTACTTGAGCCAATATTTGGAAAAAAGTGACCTAAATCGAAAAATTTCTCATTTTTCAATTTTTTTTGTTGTTTTTTCTCTCTTTATTTCATGAAGTGAGTTAATAATTCAAAAATCATGATGTGCGAACAGTGCAATAATAATGCAATAAAAAAAAATACGAAAAAAAAAACGACGACAATGATAAACTAAATTGAAACACTTTTTTTCATCTAAAAAAGCAAATACAAAATTTTCATGTAGATCATAAAATGATGATAAACATTTAAAAAAAAACAGATGACAAATAAAATGATTCATTAATTATACTACGTGTTCGATAACAAGCATTCCATAACTGCATATAATACGAATGTTCAATGATGCATAAACGAAAATTGATTTTAATGAGAAAGTTCTTAATTACCATCATCTTATCTAATGCAAAGTGTCTAAATCTTGTTGGTAGTTGTAAAAAGAAGCATGCTTCAAACATGTTTAAAGGGAAAAAGAAGAACATTTTTTTTTGCATATTAAAAATAATCCGGTATTTTATGAAAAAAATTTAATCGATCTTCTTTTTTGGAATATGTTACAAATAGTTATAATTATTACGATCACATTTTGATTAAGTTATTTTCTAATACCGTTAGAAAAATAAATGTGTGTTTTTGAAAATAATTTGTCTCAAAGATAAAATAACTATACATTAATGAGAAAATACATTAACATTAGTGTTAAGTTAAATAAATCTTGAAAATCAAGATAATTTATAATTATCTTTTAAGTAAATGAGTGAAATAAGATGCGCATAAATCTCAATTTAAGGTTTGCGTAAAATTCCAATTTGAGACTTAATTTATAAAAACTCGAATCTTAAATTCAACAAAAAAAAAACTTGTTTTGACAAAAATAATAATAGAATTCTCATTCAATCGTATTTTATGGATTCGAATTTTTAAATAAAAAAAATTCAATTCACCGAATTTTAATTTGTCCAAATTTTTATTTATACGAATTTTTAAGATGCTGAATTTTTATTTGTCCGATATTACAAATGTCCGAACAAAAAATCGACAGGAAGATTTTGACGTAATTTTAAAAACTATCCAATTAGAAATTAAGAAAATTATGTGATTGGTCAATTTTGTAATTTCAGACAAATGAAAATTCGACGTCTTAGAAATTTGTACAAATAAATTTTTAATTTAATTTTTAAAAAAAAAATTTAAGAATTTTTAAGAAGCCGAATTTTTATTTATCCAAAATTACAAATGGCCGAACAAAAAATCGACAGAAATATTTTGAAGTAATTTTAAAAATTAACCAATTAGAAATTATTAAGAAAAAAATCGTGATTGGTCAATTTTGAAAATTGCACCGAAATCTTTATGTCGATTGTTTGTTCGAACCATTGTAATTTCGGACAAATAAAAATTCGACTACTTAAAAATTTGTACAAATAAAAATTCTGACAGATTAAAATTTAATGAATTGGAATTTCTGTCATTTAAAAATTCAAATCACATAAAGTTCAATTGAATGAGAATTCTGTTAAATTAAAATTCTGCCAAACATAAATTCACTATCTAAAAATTTTGTTAAATAAAAATTTGGCTAAAAAGAAATTCTATTAAATCTTAATTCAAAAAATGAAAATTCATCTAAAAAATAATTATTTCTACTAAAATTTTTAAAAATAAAAATTCTAATTAATGATTTTTATGAGATAATCATTCGTTCCTTTGATTATTTCATCATTCAAGTCCGATTATTTGAATTAAATTTTTTTGTCAGTGATATTATAGTCTATTTATAAAATTTATTAAAATTATTTGAACCAATTTCAAACAAATAGTTTTGAAATATATTTTTTTCTCTTATATGTAAAATGGGAATTTTTTTTTCAAAAACGAATCCTTATATGTTTTGTGAGGAGCAGAATTAAACGAATTATGTAAAATAAATCGTTGAAATGCGTTATCGTCACCTGATATACCAAATCTATCTCTATCTCTATCTCTCTCTCTCTTTTTCTAAAGCGTTAAGGGGGCAGATATTGCTTTCGTTATATAGACGAAAGGGAAGTGCTGCAAGTGAAATGTGTGTTCTCGTCGATTTGCCCATGCGACAGAAAAGGGATTCTTGAGAGAGGAGTTGGATTGTCGATTCCCTGAGTCCATCGAACTTTATTTAAATTTTCCACAAATACGATGACACACTATATGCGCCGCTTCCAACAAGAACGAAAGTTTGATTTTCCTGCATGAAGCTCAAGAGAGAAAGCGAGAAGGAGGGAGGAAGGGGGGGGTGCGAATACCCCAAGAATCGAGAGAAGGGTGACAAGGGTCCCGGGTTAGACATCAAGAAGCAGGAAAACGATTTTTCGCCTGATTCCCAAACCACTGAATCACCGCTATATATTATGTGCCAGATTCGTCCTGTAACAACTGAGCTGTCAATTTTCCCTTTCGAAAAAGAAAAAGAGTCAATACGAAATTCGAATTTCAATAAGTAAAGTGCTCACGATCATGAATTATTTATAAGTCATCTCGAGCTTGACAATCAAGTAACTTTGAAAATGATTATTATATTCGTCGAAATTATTTCGATTTACAATTTTTTTTTTTTTAGTTAATTAAATTAGAAAACTAAATTAACTTAAATAATATTTAAAAATTGAATTCTTTTTTTTCTGCTCTATATTCAAAGGGTAAAAATAGTTTGGCACTTTATATGTATACACAGTATATTCAGTAAAAAAAGGAAAAAAAAAAAAAAAACGTGAATAAATCCAACGGAAATAATAAAGCAATGTTGGACAGCTGGACATCAAATGGAGTTTGTCATATAGGGAGAAATTATTGTCACAAAAACAATAGATTTTGCCACATAGAATTTTCACCAAAGTTGAATAGTGAAACTTAAATTTCTATATAATTTAATTACGTTACACGAAAGAAATATTAGAAATTTTCTAAATTAATTTCCCTTTCAATTTCACCCTTGGAAAAATAATATTTCATATTAATTTATAATTCAAATAATTTTCAATTTCATAAATCATTAAAATTCCCATGCGCGTATATATCATTTGACTTGAAAAGTTATATCATTGCAAAAGACATGGAATAAATTTTGCAAAAAATTTTTTACAAAGTGTTAAAAGGAATTATTGAAATTGACGTGAATCCGGAAGTGTGGAGAGAAACATAACCATTTGGCCTTTTTCTAATGGCGAACAGATGAGAGAGTAGAAATTCCGTTGTAACCTAAGCCCCCCACACACACATACATATACAAAACACTCATGTGAAGTTGTTTTGATCCTCTCTTTTGCGCGGCCAAGTCAATGTGTGCAAGCTCCTTAACGTAGGTCACCTAGTATTAAGGACCGGTATTTCAGTTAACTCTCGGTTGTTGCCGTCGTAAATCATGACGCCAGTGTGTAGTTGCCGCCGGGATACGAGAGTAGCTCCGCACCTACCCCGTAGCGACAAATTGCGATTATAAATCTTTTTGGGACTCTCTCTCTCTCTTACTTCTGCGCGCGCGCACGCGGCCGGTAAAAGGTCAATGTGCAAATAGCTTGGCAACTTATGTTCGCAAAGAAAGAGAAAAAGAGGGTGGGCGAGACATCCGGAGGCTACGGAAATTAAAATGAAAATTTATCTTTGAGCTATCTTTTGATCGCATCGCGAATCAGTTGCCGTACAATATTATTTAATCCTTACATTGCATTATACAAACCTGAAACATGAGCTATGGAGACGGAAATGTATACCTGTTTTTATTGATAATAAAATGATACATATTATTAATGAGATACCTGTTAATATGTTACATGTTAATATACAAAATTTAATTTCAAATTTAATACACATTAAATAAAAAAATCAGGAATAGGAAACAGTAAAAGAGAGAGGGTTAACCAATCACAAGTATGTCCACCACTCCTCATTGCGGCTTTAGCTAAAATATCAATAAAACAGTAAATTAGAAACTAATAATATTTCAATTACAAATTCCTCTTCAATGAATCCTGACACTTGAAATCTTTTTTTTTTTCATATTACGATGACAATTACAATAAAAGAAAATCGCCACGATTCCTCATTATGAAAATTGCTTTGTGAAGCTCTTCTTGCAATTCGCTGACGTTGGACCATTTCTGGCAACAAGTACTTTCGATTGGCCTCGTTTAAAATAGCGCTGAAGAAAAAGATAAGATATAGAAAAGAAACTTGATTTATTCATATCGACATGATAAAAAAAAAGTGTATAAGCAAAAAAAAGAAAGAATTTCTTATTGCTGATCTCATGTTCCGATCAGTGAGCGAATTTACTTGAATTAATCCAGGTTATTAACTTGTGTAGATGAGTTGTTGGCAATTATGCACTTCCTATCATATGTGTAATCAGTATAGCCCCATCGGTACCAGAAAGTGATTCATTTAATTAAAGAAGCAATACCTTTCTACCCATCGGATACCAATCATATACCTTAATCAAAGGGTTTTATATTCATTGGAAAATCAAGAGAGAGAGGGGGGGGGGGAGAGGCGATTAACATTCTCGAATAAAAACATAGACCTAACCATCTTTGTTCTGTTGCATGTCAATTGTTAAAGGCTTTCATCCTATA